GCTACGTTCAATAAAAATAAAAAATCTACGAGGCCTTTACAAATTGATTGCAACCTTTTTCATCAATTGAAATGCGGTTTTATACTTCCACCTTTGTATTGAATTGAATTCCTCTCCTGTTCTGTTTGCTTTTGCTTCGATGCTGTACTTCAATTTGAAATGAAATGAAAAAAGAAAAAAAAACTTTCTACTACTTCAATTGTTTGTCAGTCAATCCAAAAGTAGTTTAAATAAAAAATAAAAAATGCGGATACCTGACGTTGTGTTTACTTAATCGAACAAACAATTCAGTGCTCATGATTTCAGTACTTTTGTAAATATTTATATTTAAGTGATGGGGAGCGGCAAAAATTATATCGAAATTCAAGTATTTTACGATAATTTTTTACTTTGAGCATCATCACCGAGTGAAATATATAAAAAAAAAAAAAATCTACACAGTTTGACCTTCAAGGACAAGAAAGTAGGAAAGAAAAAATCAAGTGACAGCTGTGCGTGATGGCTAAACAAGAAAAACGTATTTTTGACCGCTAAAACATGTTACATGACTGAAAACATTGGGCGAATAACTTTCGCCCTCGTGCACGTAAACGCATCTCTCCAAGGAAAATCTTTTAGTCGAAATTTATGACTGGAAGAAAAGTTTCACCCATATATTATTTATGTATATACGACTAGCCGCGTATTTAAGGGGCCCAAGTGTCGTATATTTACGCACAAGAATAATGGAATCGAAAGGAAGGAGTGTATAGGTGCAGGCATCGGTGGTGCGAGATTGGCAGGATGATGGAGCGAGGGAGGAAAGATATGCGGGAAATCGCTGGCGTGCCGAAGATGGCAAGAAAAAGGGGGAGGGAGGGAGAATGATCGCTCTGTCGACGGGAGGGTGCTGGAAGAGATCGGGGTTGGTTGGCAATTAACGCCTTGCTGACGGCTAACTCATCGTCTGTGCCACGGGAGTGTACGTGTTAAATGTGCCCTCGGGAGTTCGATCATGTAACATCCTGGGTTGATTTATTTTTTTCTTATTTCGATCGTGAATGTGGAAGTTAATAACATTTATTGGCTACATAACCACATGCGATTGAGATTTTTTTTTTCTTTTTTTTTTTTTTCAACGATTGTATCAATGTTTACAACTACACTTGAATATCAATAAAGGATATTCAGCAGTTCTGATAACAAATGTTACCCTGTGATCAAATGGTATACAGCAGTTTTTCTTTTTTTTTTTTACCACATGTAATACATATATAAAATCCTAACGCACATTGGATGATACCGAATTTCATGAAATATATGGCAACGTTAAGTATTACAACATACATGAGGATTGTCCAGGTATATGTGTGTCAAGGTTTTCTCTTGCGCAATTTCGCTTGTGCTTCCTTCAACAGAAGGTCAAAGGTATTTTCTTCTTCTGGTTTGCTATAAACATTTCTAGGATTTGCCAGAGAACTATGAGTTGCTCCATCTATACAGCAAACATGGTAAAAAATAAATGAACAATACTTATATTTACATGAAATTGATGAAACTAATTGATAAACTCACCAAGATCCGCATATTTGACTTTGCAAAATGCTCTACGGCCACCAAAGCACAGATCGTATCTCGGCAAAGAAGGATCATCGTTGCCGTGTTCGACGGCTTGATAAGCATCTTGTTTAAAGGCAAATGTCACAAATCCATAATTGTGACTGTAAATGCAATAATTGCAATATAAGCCAGAGTTTGAAGCTTCAAAACATTTTTTTAACGGTAAAGAAGTACAGAAACGATGACTTACCCGTGTTCACGAAAGTGTACGCTAATATCGACAACAGGGCCGAAGACTTCGAATCTTCGTCGTAATTCTGCTTTGGTGATCCCTTCCTTCAATCGGCCAACGTATATAACTCGTCGCTCTTCGACTTGACGTTGCTTTTCCTTGACGTACCTTTCGTCATATGGTCGTACATATGGAGATCTATAATTAAAAATCAAAGAAAATCCTAAATTATCGAAAATTTCATCATATCATAAAAAGAAAAAAAACTTTGCTGAGACTACTTTCATGGTTTCTATTTCAACATAAAAAGAAGATTGTAGAACCATTTCCACATGCGGCTGAGATGTGTTTCCAGTAATTTGGAAATGGTGAAAATTCAAAGTGATTTAATGTAGAAAAAAAATATCAGCAAAGTTTTCCAAGAATTAGCTCAAACATGAAAAAAACGCATAGAGTATTGTTACCAATAAGAACGAGCAACAGAAAAGGTTCGAGGAGATTCTGTATGATAAGAAGATGTGTACACCGTTTGGTATTTCTCACAAAAAATAAACTCAACAGCGAGTTGGAAACAAAATGGGGATGATTACTGCATAGAGACTTAACAGGGTAAGAGGGGTGGTAAGGTTAAATTGAGGGTCAACTGCGGTGGTGGGTGTAATATGACCGCTCTGACGAAACCATCTGAATGAATCTTATTACCTCCTCCAATCATTGTAGCCGCGACTACTACTCGAGGAATGCCGCCTGCGCTCCCGACTTTTCCTCTGACGACGATCCGACGACCATTTCGAGCGTCCGTAATTCGAACGAGTTGATGACCTACAAACCGTAGTTTCGAACTCTAAATCAGTCTGCTGGACTTGTATTTTGATACCCTTATGCGCTACGTTTTTTTTCTGTTTTATTTTATTTGATTGTTATCACATTTTTATCAATTCAAAATGCGATAAGACTGAACACACCCAACTTGGTATTCAAAAACTTGAAGATTTACAGAACAGAAAAATATGAATAACTTTCTCAATTTGGAAAAAACAAAAAAAAATAATAATAAATAACCATACTGAGAATTTTAGACTTCACAGGAACCACAAACTAGTGACTTTTTTTGTAATTTTTTTTTTTTTCTTAACAAACTACCACACACTAGTTTTTCAATTTTTGTGGAAAACTTTCTCATGATTGGAAGACCTCACACACAATTCAAACTGCTTATTTTCTAAATGCAAGGTTGTTCTTTTCCTTTAATTACATTTCACTTTATTCATATTGTAAATAGATCTTATTTTTGTTTATTATGGTATTACACGAACATTTTGTGGAATAATATGTTTATCAAACATTGCATATGCAATAAGTAATGAAGTACGTTTTATTATATATTGAGGTTAATCAGACTTTTTAGGTAATGAGCAATGACATATCAGTGCTTTTCCATTAAGAGTATACTAAATTTAATGCTCATATAGAAAGATCTTTTTTACTTTTTTTCTTACATTAAAAAAGATAAAATATAAAAATGATCAGACATTCTTCGTGATAATGAATTTCCACCAACTAATGTTGATAAAAAAAAGTTCTTAAAACCGCGGGTAAAGATTTGCATTTAATGGAAAAAAAAATATTTATGAATGAGAAGTGAAAATATACATCTAAAGTGAAAGTAAATTAGAATTAAGTCAAACCAATTGCATAAGCGTTCAAATAAAACTTATTAATGTAACACAATAGAAAATGGTATGTACAATCTAATCAGTATAGAATACCGCATTTTTTCTTCAACTCCAAACGTTACTATGAAAACGATCGGCTTGTTTACGTTGGCATTCTAGATGCTGTACATTTTTTAGGATTACAGAGCACCTTTAAGAAATCCAAATCATCTGAATGAACCTTTTACGTTGCTAGCTCGTATACAATTCTGCTGTTGAGCATGAGCACAAAAGTTTGTTTCGTACCTTAACTTAGTGTTTTGAATGATTTTAATCACTCTTCATTGAACTCAAGTGAACAATTGTACATTTTTCATTACTTCTCTGTATACAAATATTCAGATATTAAGATTTCAAAATACTCTAATTTCATGCTTTAAGAACGTTTTTAGATTGTAAGATCGGTTGTACATCACTTCATCACACGGCAAAACTATATTTAAACCAGTACAATTTAAAAAAAGGAAATAAACTTATTTTAAAAAAGAAAACTCAAAAGATGACAACCAACAAAATTTTTAAAATTTTGGCATTTTCTACACGACATTTATCTCAAAGGAGCCATTTGCTCTAGTCAAGTGAACGATTCCGCTCTAAAATTACTTAGATGGCTTAGTCCATAGTTCATACTAATTTAGCAGTAGATTTTTTTTTCTTTTTTTTTTTTTTTTCAACGATTGTATCAATGTTTACAACTACACTTGAATATCAATAAAGGATATTCAGCAGTTCTGATAACAAATGTTACCCTGTGATCAAATGGTATACAGCAGTTTTTCTTTTTTTTTTTTACCACATGTAATACATATATAAAATCCTAACGCACATTGGATGATACCGAATTTCATGAAATATATGGCAACGTTAAGTATTACAACATACATGAGGATTGTCCAGGTATATGTGTGTCAAGGTTTTCTCTTGCGCAATTTCGCTTGTGCTTCCTTCAACAGAAGGTCAAAGGTATTTTCTTCTTCTGGTTTGCTATAAACATTTCTAGGATTTGCCAGAGAACTATGAGTTGCTCCATCTATACAGCAAACATGGTAAAAAATAAATGAACAATACTTATATTTACATGAAATTGATGAAACTAATTGATAAACTCACCAAGATCCGCATATTTGACTTTGCAAAATGCTCTACGGCCACCAAAGCACAGATCGTATCTCGGCAAAGAAGGATCATCGTTGCCGTGTTCGACGGCTTGATAAGCATCTTGTTTAAAGGCAAATGTCACAAATCCATAATTGTGACTGTAAATGCAATAATTGCAATATAAGCCAGAGTTTGAAGCTTCAAAACATTTTTTTAACGGTAAAGAAGTACAGAAACGATGACTTACCCGTGTTCACGAAAGTGTACGCTAATATCGACAACAGGGCCGAAGACTTCGAATCTTCGTCGTAATTCTGCTTTGGTGATCCCTTCCTTCAATCGGCCAACGTATATAACTCGTCGCTCTTCGACTTGACGTTGCTTTTCCTTGACGTACCTTTCGTCATATGGTCGTACATATGGAGATCTATAATTAAAAATCAAAGAAAATCCTAAATTATCGAAAATTTCATCATATCATAAAAAGAAAAAAAACTTTGCTGAGACTACTTTCATGGTTTCTATTTCAACATAAAAAGAAGATTGTAGAACCATTTCCACATGCGGCTGAGATGTGTTTCCAGTAATTTGGAAATGGTGAAAATTCAAAGTGATTTAATGTAGAAAAAAAATATCAGCAAAGTTTTCCAAGAATTAGCTCAAACATGAAAAAAACGCATAGAGTATTGTTACCAATAAGAACGAGCAACAGAAAAGGTTCGAGGAGATTCTGTATGATAAGAAGATGTGTACACCGTTTGGTATTTCTCACAAAAAATAAACTCAACAGCGAGTTGGAAACAAAATGGGGATGATTACTGCATAGAGACTTAACAGGGTAAGAGGGGTGGTAAGGTTAAATTGAGGGTCAACTGCGGTGGTGGGTGTAATATGACCGCTCTGACGAAACCATCTGAATGAATCTTATTACCTCCTCCAATCATTGTAGCCGCGACTACTACTCGAGGAATGCCGCCTGCGCTCCCGACTTTTCCTCTGACGACGATCCGACGACCATTTCGAGCGTCCGTAATTCGAACGAGTTGATGACCTACAAACCGTAGTTTCGAACTCTAAATCAGTCTGCTGGACTTGTATTTTGATACCCTTATGCGCTACGTTTTTTTTCTGTTTTATTTTATTTGATTGTTATCACATTTTTATCAATTCAAAATGCGATAAGACTGAACACACCCAACTTGGTATTCAAAAACTTGAAGATTTACAGAACAGAAAAATATGAATAACTTTCTCAATTTGGAAAAAACAAAAAAAAATAATAATAAATAACCATACTGAGAATTTTAGACTTCACAGATGATTCTAAAACATTCATAAAGACAAATTTGCGCCGCAACTAAGAAATCTTACTATGGCACGCCTCCGCTTCTTTCAGCTATGGCCTAAATGTCAACTAGAAATCAAGATTCTGAGCTAATAAGTACACGAACAATTACCTTGAGCAACTGGAGTACCTCGAGCTCCTGGACCTTGAGCGTGACCTGGACGACGATCTCGACCTGTACTTTGGCCTCGACCTCGATCTCGACCTTGATCTCGACCTCGATCTGGACCTAGACCGTGACGACCAGCTGGTATTCGAACTGACCGAGCTGCGCCGACTGATCCTTCTTCTTCGTGGTTTCGTCGTGTGCCTCCTCCGCGAGCGACTCCTGCTGCGCGAGTGGCTACTACTCGAGCTCAAGCTTCGCGATCTACTGCTACGGCTGCGCTCGTTGCGACCACCTCGGCTGCGTCGCAAAGTTCGGCCTCGGGAGCGGCTTCTACGCCCGCCTCGGCTGCTCCTGGAGCGTGACCGCGACGAACTCAGGGAGGCCCGATGGCACCTATAATTACGCTGCTTGCGGCCCTTGCTGCAACACACAATGTGTTGTTGTTATTAATCAAATGAAACGATTTTTAAAGTAAAACTAGTAATTCGACAGTAAGCGCGAGTCTCTCCGAACTTACCTCGAGGTTTGAGAAGCTTTTCCATTGATTTCAGCCTTATTAACGTTACTCGCATCGACATTGCTGCTACCAACTTTAATATTTACAACTTCGCTAATTATAATATCATCGTTCTCGACGATCTCGCCGCTCTCGATGATCTCCCCGCTCTCGATGATCCCTCCGCTCTTAACGACCTCCTTGCTCTCGACGATCTCGCCACTCTCCAGAGCTTCCTCATCGACAGTCTTATCATCCGCTTTGTCGGCATCGACAGGTTCCTGCTTGACCCGTGTTATATCTACTATATCCGGCTGCTGCACTATCTCTGACTGTTGTGTTGCAACCTCTTTCTGTTGAGTCGCTTCCTCCGCCAACTGCTGCTCATCCACTTGTTCATCGGGTCTCACACCCTCAACGTAGAATCCGAAAACGGACTCTGTGGTCTGGACAGCTATTTCCTTCATAGCTCGCTTGGGTCGTAGCTTGTCCTCCTCGATCTCGGCTTTGGACTTGAGCATCGACACGATCTCCCGCTCCGACCACATGGGCTCGGTGTTGGTGGAGACGTGATGAACGTAGACCAATGCCATCGGCTGCACCGGGGAGTTGGTGCGACTACCATCGCTGCGGGTCTCCTGGCGTCGGCTGCGGTACTCTGCGAGATTCAGTTTTCTCCTTGGGGGTTTCTTTTCCGTAGCATCGGGCAGATCAACGTCCGTCATGTCTTGCACCATGATGCTCTGCACCTCGTTGTTCAAGCCGTTGTTGGTCGTCGCCCTGATCGGCTCCTTATAGGCAGCGTCGAGGACCTTCTGGGGCATGGTTGCGGAGGGCGGGTTCTTTAGAATCGAAACCATCTGCTGAGACTTGTGGTTGTCAAAGGTCTTGGTCTTGGTGAGCACGCCCTTGCGCAGCTGCAGGATGCTCGTGGCAAGGGCAGACTGGATTTTCATTACGTAGGGCTTTTCGTTACTGCTGCCATTATTGGTGGAGGCGTTGTTGGTGGTCTTCTTTAGCAGCGACCCTGCTTTCTGGCTTTTTTGGACATTGGCACTGAGCAGACTGGTCTTTATTTGCGGGGCTGGGACAGAAGTGTGCTTTTTTAGTTGATCCGTGCTCTGGGACTTTTTGAACCTTTTAGCTAACGGGTGGTGTGGCTCCTCGCCGGCATCGCTCACTTCAGCAGACTCCAGGCCACTGTCCTTTCTCGAACTGATGTCCGACCAGTTCTTGCGAACTGGGTTCAAGGTATTTTTACTGCCAGTCGATTTCACGAGCGGCTCTTTGGTGCAACAGCCAGTAGTTTGTTTCACCGGCTCTACCTTTTTCGGTGTCATCTGATCGGTGTCGCCTGCGAGCATGTCGCTCTCGCTATTTCCACTGTCGGAGCAGTTAGAATTCGAATTACTGCAGTAATCGTGGTCCAATTGGACAGACCCATCGGCTCCTTCGGTATTGTTGGTACTGTTTTCGTTCCTGTTATTTTTTTTGCTGTTGTTGGAGGCCTACATTAATTAAAACAGACCCTTTGTTTCAACGCAGTTTCAGCGATTAAGGCACATAATAAAATTACTCTTTTGAACACCTTTTGTCTATACAATAAAAACTTTACTCTTTGGGTACCAATCGACAATTTTTAATATTTTTCATAAGTTTTTTAATTGACGATACAGAAATGTCGTTACTGTTGTTATATGTTGAAAAAAAGTATAAATACAAAAATTAATACACAATACAACCAGTAATCAACGAGTAACTGTACTAACAGTATAACAAACTTTAGAATCAGGATATCTTTGAACAAGCCACGCAATATGTTTTTCATTTTTTTTAACTGTATATTATTAAGTGCAGTATATTTTACATATCATAATCCAATTGTAAGAACGTTAAAATAAGCGAATAATAAACAATTGTACTTCAATAACAACCTATATCTCGAGTATTGACGGTTTTATACATATAAAATATTTGTGAGCATAAATTAATTCAATATTAATCGAGTAAAAGAAAAAAACTTACCGCTTTAAGAAGCTTCTTACGAGAAAGGGTAGATTTACTAGACTCCTGCGTCCTCGCACCATTGTTTTTCGCACCAGCTTTGACATTTGCTATAGCCGGTATGATCGGTATTTCTTTTTTCCGACCAGCCGCCTAATCACAATTTACCAACCAATATTATTCGCTCACAGACTAATTTTAGTTCTAAAGCAACGATAAATATTAACGAGAATCACCTTTATCCTATCAATGACTTCTTTAGGTATAGAGTCTCGAATGTCTTGATGAATTTTCGATCCATGAGCATTGACCGATTTCTCCAGCGGCAGAGTCATGGTAGACTTTATTGCCTTGGAGGTCTTAGGAGACGACTTTTTTGGTATCGGAACGTGCATAAACTCTCGTCGTTTCTCTTGTTTTTGTTCTGGCAGTGTCTTTTGCATGACTGTTGCAGTGGTAAACATTTGCGCGCTGGCTGCTGCCGCCTCGGTTGCCTCGAATTGCTCAAGAAGGCTGCTAACATCACCGGCTTCCAATACTGCATGGAGGACAAAAAAATAATTTTACAGATGATTTTTAGGTATTATTGCGTTACGATGTTTCAACTTGTACTTGAGTACCGTACCAGTATCATCATTTTTGTATGGCAGTGGAACATTAACACTACTACTCGTTTCTTCTATGTACTCCTCTACTTTAGTTACTTTTTTATTTTTCTTCGACGATTCAACTACATTTTCAGGTACTTGTTTGCCAGCCTTACGGCTCTTCTTGCTTGGATAATTATTAGTCTCTGCTTTTCGCTTCCTGGAGCTCTTTCCTTTTCTTTTAGTGCTTTTTGAGAATTCTTGAGGTTCCTCTATTTCGTACTCTATCACTTTTGGCGATCCAACATAATCTAGTGGTTCTTCCTTAATCGTAATCTCATCTGGGTCTTGCTTGATTTTTAGCTTTAGAACTATTCTACCTGGATTGCAATAATTAGATCTTGTTTACAAAAAAAGGTTTAAAGGTTTCTACTAAAAATATTACTGATGCTTTTAGCAAAGCGCATTGAAATGAAATATATACAATGGATTGAGTGCATACTAACACTGATTCACTACTCGTTTTAACATATACTGAGTATTGTTTAAAAAAAAAAAAACCAAATCAAAAGTAAATGATTCGTAATAATACTTTGCTAAAATTGTTGTATATGTTTCTGACAATAATTATAAATGTGACCTCAGGTATGATAGGACAATGCCAAGAATGCGGCACCATTCATGTTATTAGAAGAGGGCGTTAGAAACTAAAACGTCATTGAAGCGTTAATAGTCTTTTGTGACAGAGTTCGTGAATGCATACAGAAAAAGAAATAAAAAATATTGGTGCATGCAGTAAATAAAATTATTCGTAAGAAAAAAAAAATTATCTGTCTATAAAACAAACCTAAACGTTTGGAATTTTTTTTGGACGAAGTAGTTGCATGTTGACGTCGGACATGCACCGGTTCAAAAGTGGGATTAACGTCCTGGACTGAATCTAGCCCTACAACATCTACGCAAAGGATAAACAGTCAGTTGCAGGATTGAAAACAAAAAAAGTCTTGGATAATAACGTTAGTCACAAAATAAAAATAAAACAAAATAACAGTGCTCTTATGAAAAGCTACTGAAAAGCTGATCAATAGAGGAAAAGCATCTGGCAATAAAATATCCTTCTTGTTGCAGGTAACGTACCTATTTCTTTTTCACTTTGGTCTGATTCTGAGATACGATTAACTGCTTCGTAATGATTATAACGAACAGTCTCAGGCTCAAGTTTAACTTGAGGCAAACTATTGGAGCAATGACTTGGATTTTCCTTTTTGACAGGACTATTTGTTAAACTTTCTACCGGTTTTTCATAATTATCCATCATGATGCTGTAATCGGGATTATAATGACTATAGTCATCATTTATAGGTATGTGCATACCCAAATCATCCATGTCAGTAGCCTGTAAAAGCGCGAAAATTAAATTTTATGGGAGATTTTGATGAAAAATCAATTTCAAAAACTCTACTAACTCCAATATAAGTTCCAATATGCTCGTTCCAGTCAGTGAGCACTTTCTCAAAATCTTCCTTGAAGCTGAATGCTGAAGCACCAGCTTTTGGCAACAAAACCAAGTCACCATTATGTCTGGTAACACATAAATTTTAAATTATATTTTCAAATAGTCATAAGTTTATAAAATTTGTCAAGAAGGTTACACAACTTCTGAAACAAAATTTTTATAGAACAGAAAAATAAAATTTTTCACTTACTCCTGTTCACTGTCCCACAGTGCTTCATTGGAATCATAGCCAAAGCCTTGCATATAATCAAAATCGCTACCTAGGTCCTGCATTAATGAATTCTCTGATTCATGCAATGCATTATTCTAAACAAATATACATGTATGTTACAAGTGTCACATATAAAATCGTTTCAAATATTTTTTTCCATATGTACAATAGTTAATACCTGACTATCCATGGGCATCGAGAAATCTGAAAAGTGTTCTCCATCATGTAAATTTAGAAATCCAGTTTCCATGTCACGAAAAACTAACTATGTCTTAATTTTTTATCCAGTTTTCTGGAAAAAAAAAAGAAAGAAAAACTTCGATAATTTTATGGCTAACAATTTCAGAATTCCGAGTTTTATTTCTATAAAAAATCGTTTCAATTTAAAAGCATGGAACATTGTTAAAAAATTCAAGGTTTGAAAAATGTATCATATCACATCTGATAAAAACTGGATAAGAATTATATCAATAGGTATCAGAAAATGTAAGTAAACAGTCCCTGAATACATTAGTTTCAATCACGACCTTACACTCCATAAGATTGTTTTTTAAATCAGGCAGTGTAACCATCCATAGAGTTTGGTCAAAGTGCTTAGGGCACTATACATATAATAAACTTAATTATTTACATTTCAGACTAACTCAAATCATTATAGTTTAAAACTAATAAGCAATCGAAAATACTTGAAAACAAACAAATCTTATTAAAACCCTGCAAATTAAGGGTTACATAAATAAAATGTAATTTATTACAGCATAAAGAACTTCACTACAGTATACGTAACATAACAGTGATAAAGGAATCAGAGCAGGACTAACACTTAACTACCCATATTGTTTTGTATACAATAAATAAAAGAATGGATACCAAATGCTGGTAAAAAAATCAAACCCAATTTTGTACAAATAAGATTCTTTCATCCTAACGCCAGTTATTGATTTTTGACAAAGCCAGCAAAAATCCATGATATGTGTACTTCACTAACATTTAAGTGGTAAAAACCACACCTAAATCATATTGTAACTATTGTATGTGCAATATTCAAGCTTGATTTGAAGTAAACATAGCTACAATGACTATTGTTACTACAATAATTACAAGCTACAATACCTGTTCTCCATGATAAATAAACATAATAACAAAGAAAAGTCTGTCATTATTTTTCCATCATCTAAATGAATACAAACGAATAAGAGAAAATAATCCAGTAAATATTTAGGTAAGAGCACTCAATGGTACCGTAGACTTTATTTTGCAATTCAGATTAAAAATTAATATCCAAGGAACATTAAAAGCAATAAAAGCCGTTGATAATTGACACGGCACCAAGAGTGACCTTCACCTGTCCCATATAAGCATCAGCAGCATCAACACCGAGGCAATAAGAACACCCACCAGAGGCAAGTCATTAATACACAAGTGTAAGTATACAATGTACCATAAGTAAAGAAGAAAAATTCCAAGTAGCTTGATAATAGAAACACTTGTTTTGCTAAACACTCAAGTATACGTAATAAAAGCACTTGCATTACAGTTGAGCAGATGTACAGCATACGCGCCTCCACCACAAACCATGTGTTCAAGTTAGAGGTTAGGTTGTCCCCACAAAGGGAAACATAATTTGCCAGAACCGCGTGCATATGTTAAACGCTCGATATCAATATATCTCAACAATCTACCTCGATATTTTTGCAAGAATCTATTATTAAGGACTAAAAAAGACAGTCCAACATACAGGACGATCGGTGTTTATGTTTATCGAACACACTGTACGTTGTTTAGCGGTACCATAAGTGTGCAGATACATGTGACGTGAGCACGACCTTGGACCTTCTGCTGCTTACCTGATGTGTTCTCACGTTGCAGAATCGCGGGAACAGCAGCATCAATAGACAACAGGACACAAGGACACTATTTAATAAGTATATCATCCAACGTAATCACAAATTTTGACAGATTGAGTTAACACAAGGACGCACTTGTCACGATCAGCACGGACACGGTGAACCGCAATTAGGTACTTAAATGCTTTGAGAGGTGAACAATGCGTTGCATGGACACAAGCACAACACTATTGTGTACGCATACGCAGTACGTACGTACCTACACCGCAAGTTGCTAAGTTATGGTGTTCTAAGTAGATGAACGAGTACGTCGAGTACTTACAACGTTGTGTTCACACTGTAAGTACTTATTTTATGGTTAAAAATAAGCAGATTTTGATATGTATAAGTATAGGATTATTAGCACGCGGTCTGCTACTGTTGGCTCGTCTCGTCCCGAAGGTGCCGACTGACTGAGGACTGAGGCGCGTGCGAACTGCGAAGATCTGGCGTTATGAGCACATGTCTATATAGTCATAACAATAGGTTATAATAGAAAAGAACTGCACACGAAACTATACCGATGGCAGCATGAAAGCTCTGAAGCAGCACCAATGAAGGATTGCAACGTTTTACCGCCGCTTTTGCAAGAAAGTAGGTAACAGGTATAGTATAGCCCCTCCCCCCTCCCCTTTGCACGAAAATGTATTGCTATATTGGAAAGTTTTTGTGCCGAAACACGTACGTGTACAGATATTTATCCATCGGATTACGGCTACTGTTTTCACTTTACCGGAAAAGAGAGAAAACAGATATTTTGGGTGCAAGTACGGGCCTAGGATTTTCCTCGGGATTTTCCTAATGTACAAAGGAGTAGCTTGCACATTACCACATCTTTAGACATTGAGCCAAAAATCAAAGGAAATATTTGGATAGTTTAAGAATACTTGTATGTATTTAAATTGTATATTTGTGTAGTATTGAATAAAATTAAATCGATGGAAGATGACGGCATTTATTGTTGGAAAATCTTGTGGCAAAAAATTTGTAAAAAAAAGCCCTTTTCACTGATACCCTTTGATAACTTTCTCCAACTGAAAAATTTTCATACTCGAAACATCACATACTTTAAAATAACGGAGAGTTCGAAATGGGCCAGAAAATTTTCATCTGTATGAATATTTTATTTGGAGTTTAATATCATCAGGTAAATATATAAACTTATGTGAAACATAAACATTTTTGAAAATCAAGTGCCTTCAGTGAACGCACGATTTTTTTGTCGAAATGAAAAAAGTACCTTTTAATACACCTTGTGTGTTTTTAAGCAAAATTTTCGCGTACGCGTTTTTGTAAAATTTCTGCAAGTCGAGTGAATTCCAAACTTAATGTCAATAATATCGATTGACATGCGTTGAAAAAACTAAACGCTTTTGTACACATATTTACGTTATAAAACTTCAAAATCTTCTTTAACACCAGTGGTTAAATTTCAGTATTTGTTGAACAGTCGAATAACTTGAATATATTTTTCCCTCCGTCTCTAAGGACCGAATTAATTTTATCTGCTCTTCTAGAACTTTTACTTTCTTCTCTCTCTCTGAGCCGAGCTCTGAGCACGTGCGTTTGGCGTTTCTTCCGCGTGCTCGACATTGTTCTCTTCATTTATATAAATGGACATACATACACGTACTCTTCGTAACGCAGCATGCCCGTTTCATTTTCCGAGTCTATTTTCAATTTGAATTCTCTACTTGCTTTTGTTCCTATTTTTTTTTTTTTTTTTTTGCTTGCATTTCGGAATTTTTAAAACAATTTCTTTGTTCATGACCAATTTTGGAAGAAGTTCAATGGACAATGCAGGGAACGTGTCTCTAATACATGAGTACAATATAATTATCGCGTGTACAAGAACACAAATTTACATCATATACACATTGGCGTGTCTTACAAAAATGTAAGAAGAAATATACGAATGGAAAGTTGGAACTTTCTTCATACGTCTGAAGGTTTTTTGCATTAATCTATTGTAAAATCGATTGTTTAAAAAAAATGTTCATACCTATAAATCAATGAATTTGAAACCTCAATTTGGACTCAGCTAACTCTAACTGCATGTCGATCCCAACATTTCCAAAGAAAAACCTTCCACGATCCATCTAATTTATTTTTATTACTCCTGAAGTGGCTCTTCAGAGAACATGTGTTCCCTGAAATTTAGAAAGTTGTTTTCTACGGGACAATAAAAACGTAAAAGGATCAACTTAAACGTGCTTCGCCTGTGTTACACAGGATAAGTTTTAGGTATGGAATAGTTCTTGGAAAGTTGGTGTTTCTTGTTATTTTACTTTCTACAGCTACAGATAAAGTTTTAGAACTCGTCAACTAGAACTTGAGAAAATATCACCAACAACGAATTTTTAAAGCTAGGTTTTTATGACACGGACAGCTACATCTTTTAAAAAGTCCAACCAATATCTCTGTAAAATAAAATTATTGTTCAAAGTAATAAGTTTTACTATTTCTGTATTAAAGTTTAAAGCAATAGATGTGAATAGTACACCGGTTTCACCAATTGTTGGTATCGATTCCTATAAGCTTAAAATATATCTCATTTTAGTTTAACGAGTCTCTATAGGTGTGACATTTGTAACGATTTCGACATGTTACTTAAGTGATAGTTAGCACAGGAGCCTTTCCATAGTTGTCAACCTATTCAGTTTGACAGTTCATGAATTATTTATTTTTAACAAGAATTGGTTTTTGTAATTACATGAAAATAAGGTTCTTTCAAAAAAGGTTCTTACAACTACATGATATGCATTTTTTTATTTGTGAGTACTTCTTAAAAATCGTCGGAAATAACATACTAGTTGTTAAAAAAGATCCGTAGTATAATTTTTAAAAGTTGATTATATTTGTTTTTCACTCACGCAATCCAAATAAACTTCACATCTTCAAAACGACATGGAAAATCTTTGCAAAATTTTTAACTCAATAAGTGTAGCAGTATTACAAAGTATACACCCAAAGTTTGGGAATATCCTTTGTTCAAAGTTGTTTTTAGACCAAGTGTCTTAAAATGGGATAACTTGATTTATGCACACATAGAAATAAAATTTACACAAATATTATTCATTTCAAAGTCATTCATCGGCATGGACTGCATGAAGATTGTAATAATGAGAAATCAAAATATTTTTTCAGACGAGGAAACGCATGTATGGCATTGTATTATGCAATCGTATACACAGCGATGACTTGCGACGAAAATAAGTCTTGATAAGAAAATTAGTTTGTTAATTTATTAAAATGCGACTTTAAGGCGCCAGAATTTCATAAAAGTCAAAAGATTTCCGACTTTACTGTTGAAAAAATGTAAATCTCAACTTTTACATGGCAAGAGTAGTAATATCTAAATCGTCATACAGTTCCAATAAAATTAGCATGCTTTTATTCAAGCAAATAGTCGCATATTTCGGTAAATTACGGCTCTTTGACAGCTAAATTTATTGTTACGAGTTTTATCGATTTAGGTACTTGGTTGTTTTTCTCAAAGTTTTTTTTCCTTTAAACGTGACAAGGCTTACAAGAAACTCTTTTTGCGACTACCTAAACCATCCATATTTTTGAAATGCCAATTTATAATTTTTAAGTAAAATCAAATTGATTTATT